CACTCACCCGCAGTCCGCGGGCCGCGCGCTCGGCCCGGACGGGCTCCCAGGGCGCGTGCGCGTTACCGCCCCCAAACCTGGTTCTCGGTGCTCCAAGTAAAACGCGGAAGCGGATCACGGCCTGAGAGGAAGGGGTGGGGAGTGGGAAAACCCGGAGTGGATAACCCCTAGAGCGGGAAGCGGAGAGCCGAGAACGCCAGGATCTGCGAGGCAGGTCTGCGGAGTCCGGGGTCGCCTCCTGCGTTTTCAGCGCGAGTGTGAGGGCGCAGGAGGAGGCTGGTTTCTGCAGCCCCCGTCCTGCTGCCGCACCCCGCACCCCACACCCCGCACGCCCTCCACCTCTGCCGGAGCAGGCTCCCTGCATGAGCTAGGCAGGAATTTTACTCTCAAGAAACAACCACATTAAAAACGAATAGATAAAAAGTTGCTGTGAGCCTAAAACTACTCTAAAATATAGTCTATTAAGCCCTGGCCGGTTGGAGCCTCGGTCCACGCACGGAAGGGTCGTGGATTTGATTCCAGACCTAGGGCAAGTATTTGGCTTGCAGGGTCGACCCCGCCCTGCTTGGAGCGCGTGAGGAAGGCAACCCATCGATGTGTCTCTTACATTGTTCCTCTCTCTCTCTCAATAGAAATCCAGTGAGGATTAACATCAACAAAAATACTCTTATTAAAAATGAATAAATGGAAAAGAAAACATTTATCCTGAGTGCTGTTGAAACGGGGTAATAAGGGTACTTGGCAAGAACACAAATCGATTTCAGAAGCAATTACCATAAGGGACTGTAGAATGTTCCAGAAGAAAGATTTCCTGATGAGAAGATTGGGGTGGTCATGAAGTCACCTGAGGCTGGGCTGGAAGGACCAGGCCATTGCAGAGGGACTGGAAAGGTTGGTAAGGGCCCATGCAGAGATAGCAAATGGGCCAAGTACAACCCACCACCATATCCTTTGGCCTTCACATTACTTTCTTAAATTTTTATTTAATTGCAGACACTTCAGATTTAGGAAGTTTCATGTAAAAATCCAGATTTCCAGATTCTCTTGACAAATTGGAGTCTGTGGCAGCACTGGGCTCACCTGGTGTGGCAGGCATGGGGTGTGCATAGGCCCTCCCTCTGGGCAGCCTCACTGGCCTCAGTGGCCCCTGGGTGATTTGATTCATGGTCCACCCCTACACACACACACACACACACACACACACACACTCACACCTCCCCTGGGCTAGAGTCAAATGCAAATGTCCCTGGAATGGAAACCACAATCAGGGGGCAAGTCCAGTCATTTCCAGGTAATCAGCGGATTGGTTCATTTGGTTGCCCTACTGGGACAGGAGTGAGATTAATGGCTTGTAATGCTGATGGAAATAGGGTGAAGAGACTAGCCCAAAGGAAGAGACACAGTGCTCCAGACAGCCTGTGCAATGCCACAGAGAGTCCCGAGTGTCTAGAGGAAAAGTGTGTGTGTGAGGGGGAGTGGGGTTAGACAGTGGAGAGACAAGAGGCAAATTGTCACTTCACAATTCTGGACTATTTCCAACATGACAGAAAGCCTTCTCTATAGCGGGATGTTAAAACCATGGTGCTTGTCCTGCAGTTTTTCCTTACCTATTACCCATGGCAGACATGATTAATTAATAACAATCCACTCTCCCTCTGAACCCAGATGCAACTTCACAATCATTTTCTCCATCCAAGACATCCAAGGGATTAGAGTTGGGCATCTCTTCTCTATAATGCCTCTCCTTCCTCTGATATCCCGTTGAATACACCTGGCCTTCATTTATTCACAAATATTTCTTAAATTCCTGCTATGTGATAAGTACTTTGCTAGGTGCTGAGGACGTAGCACTGACAAAGCATACTTCTTTATAATCTACATAAATAATTTTTAATTTATAATTGTGATAGTAAGGGCTAACATTTAGAGAATGCCAAATAAGCTCTAAGTGACCTAAATTATTTACTTCATTTAACTCTTTCAACTACTAGGTTCTATTATAGTCATGTCCAGAGAGGTAAAGTATCTTGCCCAAGGTCACACAGCTAGTTAGTATCAAAGGCAGAACTGGTACCCAGACAGTGTGGCTCCAGAACCTGCGCATTTACTCCCTCAAAATTCCTACAAAGCACAAGGTAATGAGAGAGAGTAGAGCGGTAATCCAGCCTTGGCTCGGTTGGTGGGGAAGGTGTCCCTGTGAAGGTGATGTTGAAGCTGAAATCAAAAGAGGAGACTGAGTAACATGGTAGAAGCTGGGAGACAAGCTCTCCAGGAGAAGGAACAGCAAAGACAAAGGTATGTGCTCAAGATTACTGAAAACATATGTCCAGGTATACAAACGTTCAGGGCAGCATTATTCATAATAACTAAAAAGTGTTAACTACCTGCACATCCATCAGCTGATGAATGAATAAACAAAATGTGGTATATTTATACAATGGATTTATTAAGCCATAAAAAAGAATGAAATACTGGTACATGTTACAACATGGATGAACATTGAAAATATTATGCTAAGTGAGGGAAGTCAGTCACAAAGACCATATATTGTAGCTCTGGCTGGGTAGCTCAGTTGATTAGAGTGACATCTGGATATGCCAAGGTTGCAGTTCCATCTCCGATCAGGGCACATACAAGAAGAAACCAGTGAATGCATAAATAAGTGGAACAACAAATCGATGTTTTCTTCTCTCTCTCTCTTTCTTCCTCTCTCTCTCTGAAGCCAATTAAAAATAATTTTAAAGTGACTATATATTGCATCTTTCCATATATATGAAATGTCCAGAATCAATAAATCTGGAGAGACAAAAAGTGGATTCATGGTTTCCAGTGGCTATGGGAAGGGAGAAATGAGCAGTGACTGTTGATGGATACGAGGCAGAATTTATGGTATTAAATTCTCATTCCCCTTGACTCCTCCCCAGAACCAGGATCCACCCACCTTTGTGACATCGCCTCTATTGCTAAGCAACAGACTCAGGGCTCCACTAGCCCCTTGAGTCCTGGGGGACACTTTGGACCAAGGTGTTTCAAGAAGGAAGCTTCAGAAGGAAGAAGGTGGTCGACATGTTGCGTGTTGTCGTGGAGTCGACCAAGATTCACCCACCCCTGACCCCCCCACCCAGACCCTGTGTGTCTGTCTTCTTCAGAGGTGAGCACCAAGATTCTGGATGGAAGAGAGGTGCCCCAGGAGGCAACATGTATTCAGTGAAAAAAACAGGATTACTGGTGCCCTGTTATGTAAAAGATGCGCTGTCTGACAGAATGCTGAGGTAGACACCCTCCAGTTCTTTCCAAACTTATCATCTTTATTGCTATTATTTCTTTTATTATGACATTTTTGCCTCCCATTTTTACCAAGGCGTGGTTATGGGAAAAAGAGAAGATTAATACTTTTCTCAAATTATTAATCTCAAGCTTCTACGAACTAAGGCTGTGCCACAAACTCAAGTTTAGAAAAAAATTACCTATTTCCTAGGATCAATGTGAGGATTTTTTATTATTTTTAAATATTTTTAAAAATTTTCTATTACAGTTGACATACATTATTGTATTAGTTTCAGGAGTACACCCCAGTGATTAGACATTACATACTTAATAAGTGATCATCCTGATAAATCTCACACCCACCTGACACCATACTTAGTTATTAGACTATTATTGACTATATTCCCTATGCTTTACATCACCATGACTATTCTCTAACAACTAATTTGTGCTTCTTAATCCCTTTATCTTTTTCACCCATCCCTCCAACACCCCTCCCATCTGGCAACTGTCAAAACATTCTCTGTATCTAATTTTGTTTCTGTTCTGCTTGTTCATTTATTTTGTTTTTTAGATTCAATTGTTGATAGATATGTTTATTGCCATTTTATTATTCATATTTTTTGTCTTCTTCTTAAAGAAGACCATTTAGTATTTCATGTAATACTGGTTTGGTGGTGATGAACTCCTTTAGCTTTTTCTTGTCTTGGAAGCTCTTTATCTTCCTTTGATTCTAAATGATAGTTTTGCTGGGTAATCTTGATTGTAGTTCCTTGCTTTTCAACACTTTGAATATTTCTTGCCACTTCCTTCTGGCCTGCAAAGTTTCTGTTGAAATATCAGCTGACAGTCTTATGGGTGCTCGCTTGTAGGTAACTAACTGCTTTTCTCTTATTGCTTTTAAGATTCTTTGCCTTTAACCTTTTGCATTTTAATTATGATGTGTCTTGGTGTGGGCTCTTTGGGTTCCTTTTGTTCGGGACTCTTTGTGCTTACTGGACTTGTACGTCTCTTTCCTTCGCCAAATTAGGAAAGTTTTCTGTCATTATTTTCTCAAATAGATTTTCAATTTCTTGTCCTCTCTCTTCTCCTTCCAGCACCCCCATGATGTGAATGTTGGTATGTTTGAAGTTGTTGCAGAAGCTCCTTTCATTATTCTCATTTTTTGGATTCTTTTTTTCTTTTTTGCTCTTCTGATTGTGTGCTTTTTACTTCCTTATATTCCAAATCACTGATTTGATTCTTGGCTTCATCTACTCTACTGTTAATTCCCTGTAAATTATTCTTCAGTTTCAATTAATGTATCCTTCATTTTTGACTGGTTCTTTTTTTATTCTATTAAGGTTTTCACTAAGTTCATTGAGCATCCTTATGACCAGTGTTTTGAACTCTGCATCAAGTTGATTGCTTGTCTCCATTTTGTTTGGTTGTTTTTCTGGAGTTTTGTTCTGTTCTTTCATTTGGGCCATGTTTCTTTGTCTTTGCATTTTGGCAGCCTCCCTGTGCTTGTTTCTATGTGTTAGGTAGAGCTGCTTCATCTCCCAGGCTTGGTAGAGTGGCCTAATGTAGTAGGTGTCTGGTAGGGTCCAGTGGCACAGCCTCCCCTATCACTGAAGCTGGATACTCAAGGTGTGCCCTGACCCCGTGTGGGCTACACACCTTCCTCTTGTAGTGCAGGGGCCCACCCCATAGAGCAGGACTTATTTCAGCAGGACTCTGGTGCCCGCTGAGTCTGCCCCTTGAGTGTGTTGCTTGTGGAGATCATTGGGTGATGGTGCTTCAACATGGTCTGAAGCTGTCCACTGAGTGTGCTGGCTCTGGGGCCTCTCGGGATGTGAGGCCAAGGTCAACCACTGCTTGAGTTTTGCTTGGGGACATTTGACATAAGCTACAAAGCAATCTGAAGATGGCTATTGCTGTGTTGGGCTCGGAGGTGCCCAGCAAGGCCAAGCTGTGAACCAAGGCCTGCTGCCACTAGTGCAGGGCCTGGGGCCACTTAGATAGAGGCACAGGACTCTCTGAGGCCAGATGTTGCTTGTTTGAGAGAATTTAGGAAAATTTGAAGCATGAGCCAAGACATGCCATTCGTATGGAAAAGCCACTGGAAACAGCATGGGTGGGCCTGAAAATTGGGTGGGGTGGGGTCTCAGGGAATCACCAGGATGGGGAACAGTGTGAGCCAGGTTGGTGGAGACTCAGATATGGTGTCCACCTACTGGCTCTGTGGGGCAGGTCTCAGAAAAGGAGCAATGGTCTCCGCCAGCACTTCTGTCTGGGATAAAGCTGCCCCTCCAACTCTTGCCCTGGTGCCAAACAATTAAGTTCTTCCCCATATGTCTCTGGTTCCTTTCAAGCTGCTGAACCCCCCTCCCCAGCTCAGAGGAAGTGAGTCTGAGTAAGTCCCTGTGTGGGCCCTTTAAGAGGAATGCCTGTGACTCCAGCAGCCTCCATGTCACTCGGCCACACTCTCTGCTGATTTTTACAGCCCGAAGTTATGGGAACTTCTCTTCCTGGCACTGGAACCATGGGCTGGGAGGTCTGGTGTGGGGCTGGGACACCTCACTCCTCTGGGAAACCTCCACAGCCTTTCCACCCCGGTGACCTTCTATACCTGGCCCGTCATTCTTGCTCTGCTCCTGTTTACCTGTCTATAATAGAAAGAATCAGTGCCATGTCACACCTGCCATTATAGACTTGACGTTTTCTTTTTTTAATCTTCACTTGAGGATATGCTTCTATTGGTTTTAGAGAGAGAAGAAAGTAGAGGGGGAGAGAGAGAAACATTGATGTGACAGTGAAGCATCAATCTGTGCACAGGACAACACACCAACCGAGCCACAGCACCAGGGCAACTTGAAGTTTTCTTAGAGCTTCCCACCTTTCTTTATCCCACTTGAACCTAGACTTTGAAGTATTTCCTGTCACCAATGCCAGCCCTTTGGTGTCTTTGCAGATGTCAAGAAGAACACTTCTGAGGCAGAAGGAAATAACCCCACATGGAATGAGGTAAGATGTACAGGGGCAAGCCCAGAAGAGGCAGTGACACCCAATAGTGAGGATGGGTCTAGGGAGAGGACATGGAGCCTCATGAGCTCTTCCCAAAGCTGGGCATCTTGGCCCTGGGAGTAGCCTCTGAGCTGACAAGGCTATGAGGCCTGAGGGCTACACCAGCCATATCTGCCCATTGCTGCCTTGGCCCTTTTCCCCCACTCTGGGGATGGACTGTGGTGTGGTTTATCTTGTTCAACATGGCCACCTTTATGTCCTCAGAAACCTGAAGCAAAGACAAGGCTCCCTGTGCAGGATCCATGCTCATCTTCCATTCATCCATGACCCCACTGCCCCTTGGTCCCCAAACCTCTTAACATGCCCACAACACTGCCTTTCAAGCTAGGGGGGCCTAAGTAGGATACCTAGCACCTTTGTGAAAGGTAGCAAACGCCATCCTCTGAGGAAATTAGACTTGAGGGGGTATCCTCAGGTCGAAAGACACATAGTGCTAGCCCGTTGTCTGCATCTTTCTCATTTCCTAGAAGGATGGGAAGGGGAGGGATGCTGACCTCTTTGTGTATCCCACAGACCCTAATTTGGCACCTCTGGAACCGCCCCCTACAGAATGACTCTTTCTTACAAGTTATCCTTCAGGACTTGGGCGCAGCAAAGGAAGAAAGGTGAGAGAGAGAGAGAGAGGCACAAGAAGCCTGGCTCTGACCAAAGCTACAAGAAATGCTGCATCCCCTGTCTCTAATCCATAATTCAGATGCAAGGACCAGAACACATTCCAGCCAGCTACTGCAAAAAAAAAAAAAAAAAAAAAGG